TGTCGGGCAATGACAAGCGTCGATTAAACTTACATCGAACGAAATGGCCGGTAGAAAGGCCTTGGAAAGGCGACTCAGAAGTCTGCATGGTATGAGGTGCCCAATGGAGCGAGGAATTGCCTTCCAAGTTCAACCACTCCTAATACTAGTCGTACGAGTCCCGCTCGTGGTCGTTGAGAGAGAATACAAACCTCAAATCGCCATCACTCAGCCTCCTCTCGACCTTCTCATAGTATTGTCCGAGATCGTGTAGGCCTCGGATGCCACTGGCGCTCTGCTGGCTCCAGGAATCAAGCACAGCAACGACCTCTATTATAACGCCGTCGGTGAAGGGCTGGGCATTGGGATATTACATCTCTTCAATACATGTGGCGGGGAGGTGGGTCAGCCTCTCGTATCGGATGTCAGTGGAAGGCCGTCTAAGGCCCGCCAGCCTGGCGCTGTGGATGAGGGGTCGGTTGATTGTGACATCGAATTTACAGGGTAGTAATAGAGCAAGTCAAGAAGAGTGAGTGAGTGAGATAAAGGCCCTGAAAACTGCAAGAGTGGGTCAATTAACGGATAAAGGGGTGTATAGCATACAGATAAAACAAGATAGGACATCCATAGCGCCCAAGATAGATGGTGAGATGTAAGATTGAGATGAGAGGTGAGGTAGCGACGACGACAGATGCCTGGAACTTGAGATGGGAAGTGGGGAAGGCTGGCTGAGTGATGGATACAAACGACTCTTCGCGATGATCGTTAAAAGCAAAAATGTTTCAGGACGTGTCCATGCGAGCCTCGAGGCCGCCCCTCCTACCCCGCCGTGCGCCTCCACCCCGGCCGCTGCCTCTACCACCCCTCCGAGGGGGGCCACCCTGCCGGGCACCGGTGCTTTGGACATAGTCTTTGGGATCGGCACCGGGCGGGGCGACGAGGACCTGTGCACGCGGGTCTGCTTTCAACAGGGAATCTGAGCGCATTTTGCTATAACACAGGTCAGCATGTCATATATGGGTCGGGCTATAGGAGAACACTTACGAGCCACCGTTTCCAGAAGACATCAACACATCAACACTGCCCTCCTCCCTAACAAGGCCCAAACCATCGTCACCTCCCAAGCGCCCACTTAGCGTCGTGCCCACAGTCGTAGCACCCACCACCTTCACAGAAAGCACCTTCCCATCCGCAGGCTGATTATTGAACTTGGCCACCGCAGCGGCGGCTGCACCGGGCGCTTTGAACGTCAGCCGGATACGGGGTTCGCCCCCACTGGCCACGAGGCGCGAAGCGGTGATGTCGCCACAGCGCTTAAATATGGCCGCGACATCGTCCGCAGTGGTGCCCGCCACCAGCCCCGCAACTTCAACAACGTTGCCTGAGGGTGAGCCTGAGGATGCGCCCTTTATGGAGATGCCCGTAGAGGCGCCCGTCGCCTCGCGAAGGGCTTTTTGGGTGAGAGATGTCAGGCTGACTTTCGGGGCGCTGAGTTTGGCGTCGAGCCGCGCGGAAAGTGAGCCTGAATCATAGAGGTCGTGAGACCAGGCGCCGTCAATATCGCCTTTGGGTATGCGCTGGGAGCGATTCTATTCATCGGGGACTTGTGAACGGGAAGTGTAGAGAGGAAGAGGAAGGACAAACGTAGGGCGATGTGCGGGCGTGGGTCTTGTGGCGGGTGGGACCTGTGGACGAGCCGGCGGGGATGTTCATGCGCTCGAGGAGAGAGGCCATGGTGGATTGTGACCAAGAGGTGAAAACATCTGTCAACAATGTTTGCGCGTGAAGTGCGCGCCCACGTGCACAGCTTCCGGAATCCGTGACGAATCTCAATGTGTCTCGACATTCATCAGCGCGTCTGGGGGCAATATTTCGGGATCCAAGTCCGAAAATCTATCACACTCAGGATATTCCTTTTGTCACCGAATCTGTTTGTCAACTAAGAAAACATTTGAAGCCATCATAATATGCACCCGTAAGTGATGACCATGGCAACTTGGCCGAGTGGTCTAAGGCGCTGGAATTAGGTTAATCACTTAATCAATCCAGTCCTCCGGGGCGTGAGTTCGAACCTCACAGTTGTCATAGATTCCATGCAAAACCGGTATCTTTTTGCGTTTGTGGTGGCTACTTTCAAGTACTAACCACTATTAGGCGGCATTCAATGGACTATATTCTCTCCATATACTTGAAATAGTTGACGCAAACCTTGAGATATACATATGTCATTAGTCAATTATCTTGTACTCTATGTGAAAAGAGTGGAGAGGGCAAGGTCTCTACGTTGAGCCCTTCCTCCCATCATCCTCGTCCGGAGGTGCCTCCCTTTCCTTCCATCGTTCATATACGCTGCTGAATGTCCGGCTGGCAAGAACGAACGGTTCGTTCGACCATGCTTTCTGCCACACGCGCTCTGCGAATTGTCGCTGTTCCCCACTCGTCACGCTCTCGCGAAAGATTTCAAGGACCTTGTGTGATGGCGCGAGAAGTTTGGTGATTCGGTCCCAGAATGGCGGAATGTCCGGTGGTACGGGCACCAGGAGGGAGTGGTTTCTGGTGACAAAGGTCAGCCACCTGAAAGACAAGCGACGATGATCAACCCACCTGAATTCCGGTATCGGACGTTGGGGAGCGATTGGCCCCCACCACTTGCTCGATTTCCCATTCTCTGGTGCCTGCCCGTGTTCCGGGTCCGACGCGACTTTCGCCAAGTGATCCTGATAGTCCTGCCACACCTCGCGTCTCTCCTCGAACCGCGCATTCGCCCTCTGCTGCCGTTCCAGATCCATCATCATAGAGTCCGTCTTCTCGTGAATGGCCAAGCGGCTCTGCGTCGTCCAGAGGTACCAGCCCTCGTCCCAGTGCTTTACTGCTTCCGGAGGGGTTTTCTGTGGTGGCGCAGTCGATTCATCCGTCGGTTTGCCACCGAGAATCCGGGGGAGGCTCGCAGGCTGGCCCTCCGATGGTAGGGGGTACATAGCCTTGCCATCCGCGTTGAGGTTCCGATGTGTCTTGAAAGCGATGATGTTCTTGACCTCGTGTGGGAAGACTTTACGGATGCACACAGACCGGCAGAAAGGCTCCTTTCCGTGGACACGGCCAGTAACGCTCTGCGAGCAGTAGGTCAAGCACCATTCGTCGGTCTTGGGGGAGAATCTGCCTTCCAAAAGTTGAATGACTCATCAAACGATAACAGAGTGACATGGCATTACCTTTGGGCGGCGTCAGGATCTTTATCGTGGGCCAGTTGGCAAGCGGTGGCTTGCGTGGCTGCGGGGACACGTTGGCCTCGGTGGTGGTGGTGCTGGTCATCGTTGAGGAAAGCCCGACACGGATTGATTGCGGAGTGGAAACTAGGGCGATACACGTGTCCTCTAATCACCGACGGCGTTTACCTGATCGGAGTCTCAAATATTCCCAAATAAATTTTTGTCGAGCGAGATGATCGCCCAAACTCTCCGCGCCGTCCGAAGAATCGTTGTCGCAGCTCACGCGCAGGGCGCCCCCGCGCGCCCCCTCTTCTGCTGTGGGGAAAGTCCCCGGAGATACAGAGCATGTCCTCGTTCGACTATGGAAACCGACCGGCTCTAAGCACGACGGTACTGTTCGAGGACGGCGAGAATGACCTGTAGGAGACCCTTTGGTCTTCGACTCCCTCTCGCCACTCTGTCGCCCACTCTGAAGGCCTCTTATCGGCGAAGGCGCGGGTTTGCGAAGATATGAGCGTTCCCGTTGCTCGGTATGCTGGCTGGACGATGGGCAGCTTGTTGCTCATAGACATAGTCATACGATTGTAGACTCGAAGTTTACTTCAGTCATCAACTCAATGGGGCTCACTCTCGTTCGGCGCGGCCTATTTTTTCCCTATCTGAACCTCGTTGTTCATCCTTTTTCTGTGGCGGCTCTGTTCCTGACATATGGTGAGTCCTCATTTTAGTGTCTACCTTGTCTGTATGATGGTTCAATTTTTATTGAATTTCTTCATGGTGTATACCCTCGTCAACGGGGGGCGGGCTCCAGAATTTGACACTTCTGATCTTATCCTTCATGGTGTGTTTTCGTGGACACAACTGACTTTGCTCTTCATAGATCGCGAAGGTTGTAGCATTAGTACTTGATACATTTGAATGTGAACTGCGCCCTGCGGAATGCAAATCAGGGCCGGCAGTGGAACGATTCTTGGCAGATTCCTGAGTGATTTGTTGAAAGTGAACTCGGGTACTAGCTGGACCGGTGTGTGTGATAAAAGCTTGATGCTTCTGAGCTGTTCCGCTGCAGCGATGTACACATCCCCGGTCGCCCCGGTGCCCGTCGCCGCGTCGTCCGTCTTCACGCACCTCTTTGCCGCCGATGGCGACACTGTCGGCGGCTTCCCCGGTGCTGCGCCGGCCTTTGTCGATGCTGCCACTGGGACGACCCTCTCGCGTGCTGCCACCCGGACCCTCGCACTCCGCCTGGCCCACGGCCTCGTCCATCATGGCGCCCGTCGCGGAGACACCGTTCTGTTATTTTCACACAACTCCCTTGCATGGCCCGTCGCCTTGTTCGGTGCAGGTCCGTGCACGTTCTCTCGTTCGTTCTTTCTCCTAATCCCCTGCAGTCGCCGCCGGTCTCCGCATCACCCTCGCCAACAGCGCCTACACCCCCAATGAGCTCGCATACCAGTACGCCGACTCCCGCGCCCGTCTCGTCTTTACCAGCGAAGAGGGCGTCCCCACTGTCCTCGCCATGTTCGCCAAGCGAGCAGTGGACCCCGTCGAAGCTCGCGCACGCATAATCGTCATCGAGTCGTCCCTCGAGTGGGCTGGGGGCCCGGCCCTGCCCCGTGGGGTCGCCGCACACGGGCTCAAGACGTTTTCGGAGCTTCTCAAAATCGGCGTGAACGAGCAGGAGGAGAGGTTTGACGGCGAACACGCCAACGAGACCGTGTATTTGTGCTATAGCTCGGGTGCGTACGTGTTTTTTTCGCGACGTGGCTCCCACTAACTTGCGATGTAGGCACAACCGGGAAACCCAAGGGCGTCGAGGTGCGTTTACGCGCGAGTCCGCACGCGACGCACTCCCCTAACTATCTATTTAGACCACCCACCGCAACATCACCGCCGTCCTCTCCATCGTGCGCCCCACCTTTCCCAAGCTCACCCTCGGCCACGACAGCGTCCTCGCCATCCTCCCCTTCTACCACGTCTACGGCGCCGTCAAGCTCGTCCACTTCCCCTGGACCTGCGGCGTCCCCGTCATCATCCAGCCCCGCTTCGACCCCGAATCCTTCCTCGCCGCAATCCAGAGGTACCGCGTCACCGTCGCGCTTATCGTGCCCCCCGTCCTCGTCGTCCTCGCGCGCCACCCCGCCGTCGACAAGTACGACATCTCCAGCCTCCTCACGCTGTTTTCGGGTGCAGCGCCCCTGGGACCCGCACTAGTCCAACAGGTACATCATCATTTCATTCCCACTGCGTACTAATCACTGAACTACTGAACCCGCACCATAGGTAACAACCCGCCTCCAAGCCCTCCAGAACAAACGCAACCCCTCCGCACCAGCCCAGATCGCCATCCTCCAAGGCTATGGCATGACCGAGATGTCGCCCACGACGCACCTCCTCCCCGTGCCCGACGCCCTCCGCAAAGTCGGCTCTATCGGTATACTCCTGCCCAACCTCGAGGCGCGCTTGATCGTCGACGGCGAGGGAGAGGGGGAAAAGGATGCAAAGGAGGGAGAGCCCGGGGAGCTGTGGATGCGCGGGCCCACTGTCATGAAGGTGTGTTGTTGCCCGCAGCGTGTGTTCCGGGAGATTTGGATTTGGATTCTGACTGATGTTTGTGAGATAGGGATACCTCAACAATCCGAGTGCGACCCAGGAAAGTCTCACCCCCGACGGGTGGTACAAGACCGGCGACATCGCCCTGCGCGATCCAGAGGGGTACTATTATATCGTCGATCGCAGGAAGGAGCTCATCAAGTTCAAGGTGCGTTCATCTACTTACGATAACATCGGCTCTTCCTGACGGCGATTGTTTTCTCCTTCCTCCTTTGTTTGCGGATGTACCTAGGGCTTCCAAGGTACGTCAATCACTGATGCACGCGTGTATACCGACACGTAACATCACACAACAGTCCCCCCCGCCGAACTCGAAGGTCTCCTACTCACACACCCCGACATCGCCGACGCGGCCGTCATCGGCGTTGACAGCGCCAAGCAGGCGACTGAGCTCCCTCGGTGCGTCCTCCATCCCATTTCTCCCTTTCCGTTTAAATTTTTCCGGTTTTCTGTGTTTACCAAGTGAGCGAGTGAATGAATACTGACTTGTATACATACGTAGAGCATACGTCGTGCACGCGCGCCCCGCGGACGTGAAGGACCCCAAGGGCAAGGCGGCGTTCGAAGAGGCCGTGGGGAGATGGACGCGTGAGCGCGTCGCGCGGCATAAGTTCCTTCGAGGCGGTACGTCCCCCACCCAGAAAAGTACACCCCATACTCATCTACTCCTCCCAAAATTTACTATAGGTGTCGTGACCATCGATGTGATCCCGAAGAGGTGGGTCCGGCTCCTGCGCATGCAACTCGTGGTGATGTTTACTTACGCGTTTTGGTGCTACTTAGTGCGGCTGGCAAGATTCTTCGACGCGAGCTGCGTGAGCGCGCCAAGACGGAACTGGCGGGGCGGGACCCTGGAGACTCGGATGAGCCTCAGCCTGCCAATGTCACGGCGAAGCTCTAGCGTGTCTGATTTTTTGGTGCGTTTTACATGTGTGTCTTGCAATTCGTCTGGGCTTGACGCTTGGGCTTTTCAGGCCGAACTTCAACAGCAGCAGAAACAGGCAACAGGGTGGGATACAGCTGATACTTCTTATGTATAGTATACCAATACCTTAACGGGATGGAGTAAGTCAGAGAGTTCAAGGGAGATGAGGAGTTGTGTTACAGTAAAGCCTTTGGAGGAGCGGCCGTGTGTGTATGTATTGTAACTTACCACTGACATACCTACTTACTAGCTACAAGAGAGCTGGCCTTGTAATGGAACTCGATTGCGTGCTTCATTCGCGTCGTCGAAGTGCGCGTCGACGCGTATGTATACGGAGT